TTTGAATGTTATTATTTTAATGAACATTTATTTTCATTTAAATAATATTTGTTTTTACACCTAATCATTTTTTAACACCTTGGATTATGTACATTATTGTTTTTTTTAGTTTTCAGTAAGGATCGCAATTTAAAAAAAAAAACAATATAGCCCATGTCACTCGGGAATAGTGTAGCTTCCAAACAGTAAAAGAATTTTTCAAATCGGTTCAGTAGTTTCGACGCCTATTCAATACAAACAAACAAACAAAACTTTTCTCTTTATAAAATTGATCTCGTATTGAAAATCGATCTCACTTTCTTAACATTGGCATATACGATCCGAATTGCAGCCGTCTCTTTCGTGTTCCATTTGAGGGCGTTAAAAGAAGGAGAAGGCAATATCTACATTGAATTTATTTTTAAATTTTTGGCAATTGATTTTCCTTTTAGTGCCACGATTTCTGATTTTAGATTTAAACAATTCTCTATACAGTTTCTATGTTATAGACTACAGTATTGAACGAGATATGTTCCGAGTAACCATTATTAATATACTAAATGATTGTTAATTTGGAAATGTGGATAATGTAAATAAAACATATTTTTGAGAGTTCGTGTTTTTTGGTTTCATTTTTATTTTTCCAGAGACGAGGACCTCTTGTTTTTTCTATTCCAGGGGCGGTAAGGGGCGTCTTATGGTCTAACACGGGCAGGTACCACCATCCCGCCTATTTCTGCCGTGAAACAGTCCTACGTTTTGGTTTGAAGGTCGGGGCTGACATAGTAATATAAACCTCAGACTTTAAACTCATTTCTAAAACAATCAATAGTACTTGAATTTTTTGTTATGAAGGAACATCAACACAATGAAAAATTTTTTTTTTTTCGAAATACTGGCAACACCCGCAGGAGAGAAAGGCGCGAAAGACAATAAAAAAAAATCGGTTGTCTGTAACGTCTGTTTACTGACGATAGTTGAACGTGACAACGTCATAAGAAAATACTGATGGAATGGTTTCATTTTTCAAAAGAAAATTTTAATTTTATTTGTTTGATAGATATTTTTTGTATGGACAATTGACACCACATTCACTTTTCACTGAACTTCATACTTGACGAAAACATGTAAATGTATTATTGTATAGCAGCTGTCCACGCGGATGCATCACTCACTCAAGTAGGAGAGAGACAGATGTCGAACGCTGCCGAACGCGGAGGCCGATTATGCCTCTTTGTCGCTCGTTGCGCGCTCTCGCTTGCACTTCAAGCCTTAAATGGAACGCCTCAGAGCGAGATAACGCCGCATGAGTCATGCTTTTTCGTGCGTGCAGCCGGCTCCATCGAATTATAAGACGTTGTCACGTTAAAAACCTCTTAATTTGAATTAGCTATTTATCTCTAACACTTTAATTTTAGTGTTTCTACATAAAATGATGAAACAAAATTTATTGAAAGCTACAATTCGAATTTATGTAAATTTGTTTTTATATAGTCTTCATTGTTATAGAGTAGGGGTCGCCAAATGACGGACCGCGGTCCGCATCCGGAACGCCGACATACCTACTTTGTGCGGACCGTCGGAACTGAATGAACTTCATTAAGAATAAGTTTCGATCCCGGCTTACTGGTGAATATCTCTAAGATTTAATGTCACTTCTACAGACAGCTATGGTAGCCCGTAATAAAAAAGTGAAAATTTTCTCATGAAATGTAAAAAAATGCCTTTGTTATTTCCGTAATCACATTTGTTTGTCGGAGACGGTCATTAGTTTGGTAGCTAAACGAAACGCAGCACGATTCCAGAGAGATGGCAGCACGATCGCGGTATCGTCGGAGCTCGGCTAGCTTCGTGCTACGACAGAGCCTAGCCGATGGAGGCGCGTAGACGCCATCACACTTACCAACCAGCCTTCTTGAAGAGCGGTGCCTCCGTCTTAAGAACTGTCATTCGTTTTAGTTTCTTAACGTAAAGAGAATATTTCTAAATTGTTCTAAGACTGCAGACGTGAGTGGTGTATTCAATATTTATTTTACTTCGATCACCCTATTATCCGCCCCTACGATGTCTGACGATGGTGTTAATAATTGTGGTTTCTCCAACATTTTTAATCATTTTTTTTCTCTAAAATGTTGTGCGGACCGCGATGATAAATTAATTTCTTAAAACAGACCCCGAGCGAAACTAATTGGTGACGCCTGTTATAGAGGCAGTTACAGATTAAGGTTAGAACACAGTTTGTAAAATGATATTAGAGGTTAGAAGTAAGGAAGTAAGTACCACCTCAGTTTATAAAGTATCCGCTGAAAGGAAGCCAATTAAGGTGGCGCCACAGTAGCAAGTGGAAAGATTTTAAAACAGCGCCATAAACTATTATATTAGAGTATGATATTAAATTAAAAAGGAAAGAAACACTTCCTACGTAAATAGTAATAAAAATAGGTATTTTTAACTTGTCCACTGTACAAGATTGCTCCTTACCTTTACCCTCCATAATGAGTAATAATATATTATTAAGCAGAGTATTATTTATGGAGAATTTTCATCCCCTCGGTGGAAGATCTTCCCTCGTATATCTTCAAAAATGCCCAGTCGAAACTGAGACGAATGCATAGAGCACTCCATTGTACTTGATAATAGATTTTAAATATAATATCGTATCATATCGGTCAAGATCAGGTAACGGACCGATATCAGTTTGAATAACAGGTTGATGGCGTATCGGTTGAAAGAAAAAGTATTTACGGTATATCTCTAATACTTGCATAATGATTGAAATGATGATTGGGAATTTCAAACTAACAATCTTAGTCACGAATTTGTGCAAGTTCTTTGTTGCATGTTGCTAGCTTTTTTTGTTGCAGCTTAGAACGATAAGACGTGGCCTAAAGGATAAGACGGTGCATTCGTATCTAAAGATGCACTGGTGTTCGAATCCCGCAGGCGGGTACCAATTTTTCTAATGAGATAAATACTTGACAAATGTTCACGATTGACTTCCACTGTGAAGGAATATTTATTTATTTTAAGGAATAGCATCGTATAATAGAAATCAAACTCGCAAAATAATAATTTGCGTAATTACTGATGGTAGGACCTCTTGTGAGTCCGCACGGGTAGGTACCACCACCCCACCTATTTCCGTCGTGAAGCAGTAATGCGTTTCGGTTTGAAGGGCGGGGCAGCCGTTGTAGAGACCTTAGAACTCATATCTCAAGGTTAGTGGCGGCATTTACGTTGTAGATGTCTATAGACTCCAGTAACTCTAATGATCTCGTTCATTAATCTATGCAATAAAAAAACGCTATAAAATTAATCGCTATAAATAATCTATGCAATAAAATAAAGGACAGTGTCCTGCCTAGTTCAAAGCTTGTGCATAAATCAAAGTTCAAACCTCACAGGCGTGTACTAATTATAAGAAAATACGCAATTAACTGACGTTCACGAAACACTTTCACAACGAATGATAATGTTGTGTAATAAAAATCTATGTCGCATTTGTAAATTTGCATACTGGTACGAATAATAATTGCCTTCCTGCCTATTTCTATCGCGAAGCAGTCTGGCCCTCCGGCTTGGACCGTCCTATTGTCTTCCATAATCACCCAATGATTGTTGGACCGAGAGATCTCCATTGAATACAAAGTAAATTTGTTGTTTATTGTAGATCATGGATATTGTATCGGAACTTTAAGTTCTTGCCTTTATTCCAGGGGGTCGGTGCGTGATCCTCTTAATCTGTTTAATTATCCAGGGCCGGATTTACAGGTTTGGAGTACCCCTGACCCCAAATTATTTTCTAAATAAAATGAACAAATTTTTTCAGTCGAGTTTTTCCATAAATGATTTATTGTGAAACCACGTAGATTCTCTTTGGAGAAAAAATCTTTATTGTGGGGGCTCTCTGTTTGTGGAAGCCCTGGAGCTTTCGCCCCGGTTGCCCTCCCCTAAGTCTGGCCCTGTAATCATCTCTGCACTCACCCCCTTCTTCTCCTACGTATCTTTCACACAGTCCATGGAAGTATTTTTAGGACTGCCCCTTCTCACGTGACAGTCTACTTTCCCGCCCAAAATTGCAAGCTAATCTGTCCCTAAGATGACCAGGGTAATGATTAAGTGACTCACTAATGTCTGATGCAATTGAATATTTTCAAGCAGCGCTTCATATATTGCTTCATTACTTAGTCACGCGTGTGTAGTATATACAATGATATGGATTGTGTCATCATCAAGTCTCACGGTCCGACTCCCCTGCACCCTCCCTTGTCGAAGCGTCCGATCCCCCTAAAGTCCTACCACCAGTAATTATACAAATTATAATTTTGCGAGTTTGATTTTTACTACATTGTATTCCTTCACCGTGGAAGTCAATCGTGACCATTTGTTAAGTACGTATTTCATAAGCAAAATCGGTACCCGCCTGCGGGATTCGGGAACACCGGTGCATCGCTACATACGAATGCACCGGACGTCTTATCCTTTAGGCCACGACGACTTCTTCTGGAGATGTTGGGTTACAAGGTAAGAGAGATGGCGAGTGAATGTTTGATATATAGCTTTCTTTTGCGAGATTCTGAATGAGAGTAGTTTGCTAACGTAATAAAAGTCAGACGTGGTGTTACTGAGAAGGCGAAAGACTTAATTAATTTACCTTGCTATAATAATAAAGACGGAATAAAAGCCAAGTTTGTGTGTGAAGCAATCAACTGTTTTATTAATCCAAAATAGAGGATCCCACATCAATATATCGAGGGGCGAAAGGAAATTTCGTTAGTGGCAATTTCGTATAAAGCGGCATTGCTTAACACGCCAGCCACATTTATCTTTGTAATTAAAGGTTAGTTTAATTTGGTATCAGCATCAACAGCTCGATATTTACAATTAAACTATTGAAATAGCCGAAGAAGTTTTTTTGTTTGTTAAGATATATTTTCCAAATTTCAAACTTTAAATGGCTCTCTTGTAAAGTTGCAAAAATCTCGCTTAAACTAAATAACCTTTCACCTCTCGAATTATAAAGATAATAATATCGACGCTCGCCAAATAAACCCGTTCAACGGTTGATAAGCTCATTTATTGGTTATTTCTGTTGCTTTATTCAAAGTCTTGTCAAAGGGCGGTAGACCGAAGAGTTCGGGTTTGAAGTCCAGGAGTGACTTGATAACGAGCGTGGCGTGACGGGTGTGTTCTCGCTGCAGACGAGGTCCAGGGGTCATGACCACCTGACGTATATAAGCATTTAAGATTAAATTTATATTTTATTAATTTTCGTTATGGAGGGTAGATGTAAAGAGAACGTCTTATATAGGAGACTAGCGACCCGCCCTCGCTTCGCTTCGGAAACATTAAAACACACATGAAATAAAATAAAAAAAAAATTTTTTTTTACAAAAAGTAGCCTATGTTCATCAGGGACAATGTCGGCTTCTAATGGAAAAATAATTTTTCAAATCGGTCCAGTAGTTTCGGAGCCTATTCGAAACAAACAAACAAACAAATCTTTCCTCTTTATAATATTATTAGTATTAGTATATTAGTATATAGATATAGATATAGACAAGTTGAAAAAGTGTCACTGTCACTATTGCTAAACGCATCCGGCTCTGTTAAGTCGAGCGCCATCTTTTGTTCACTGACAGGACCACGACAGAGGCTTTTCTTGGAGCCCCGAAAGCTACATACCATTACATTACTACACACATTCCATTGATATGAGATGAACGTTTTAGAATAGCACAGGCATTCAAGCAAACCGATTGCTTTTATGTATTTTTTTTATATATTTTTTACTGCTGGGGTGGACGAGCTCACAGCCCAACTGGTGTTAAGTAGTTACTGGAGCCCATAGACATTTACAACGTAAATTCGCCATCCACCTTGAGATATAAATTCTAAGGTCTCAGTATAGTTACAACGGCTGCCCCACCCTTCAAACCGAAACGCATTACTGCTTCACGGCAGAAATAGGCGGGGTGGTGGTACCCACCCGCGCGGACTCACATGAGGTCCTACCACCAGTAAATGTACGAACGCTCTCTCGGTTATTTTCTGATTTTGACGATACTACCTGCATTCCAGCTTTGATGGCCGCCTCCACACCGACCACCGAATCCTCAAACACCAGACACTGGAACAAGTAACACGGTGGTGGTCTTAATCGGACATTGGCGGTATATCATAGGCATGGTACCGAAAAAAATCGTCATGATATAACATTGCATATGTCCACCTCAATTTCGCATTTAGACCCCCTATTGGTGCTCACAGGCATTTCGAAACCCGGTCAAGAGCAAGACGAGCAACTTGACCCATAAACACATGAGTTTCTCGCCGGATCTTCTTGGTGCTAGATTCTGCGAAGCGCTGCTCTTGCTAGGGCCAGTGTTAGCAAACTCTTTCAGTATGAGCCCTTTATTTTTTCTATTTGAAGTCTGTTTTTGTTAAAGCATGTCTATTTACAATTATTTTTAGCGCGAACTTTAAACAATCCGCTGCCTACCTATTCCTTGTTAACCAAAAAAAAAATTAATATTAAAAAAAATAAAAAAAATAACTCACTTTAATTGGTTTCGGTTTGTCGGGAAATCTTGAAGCGGCAACCAAATAAATGTCCGGCTTTGGCTTACCGTGCTTAACCTCTGGATCGGTAACGCTAACCTAAAACAATCCTACATTTATTACTGATAAGAGGTAGGATCTCATGTGAGTCCGCGCGGGTGGGTACCACCACCTTGCCTATTTCTGCCGTGAGGCAGTAATGCGTTTCGGTTTGAAGGGTGGGGCAGCCGTTGTAACTATACTGAGACCTTAGAACTCATATCTCAAGGTGGGTGGCGCATTTACATTGTAAATGTCTATGGGCTCCAGTGACCACTTAATACCAGGTGGGCTGTGAGCTCGTCCACCCATATAAGCAATAAAAAAAATTACACTGATTTTGAGATGAGCCCATACGATTTCACCACACCAAAAAGTTTCCAACGCGGCTACAGAAGTTTTCACTTCAATTATGTCATGTCCTTCTTCAAATAAGGCTTGTGAAGAGTATTAAGCGGTAGGCAGCGTCTTGGCTTTTCCCCTGGCATTGCTGACGTCCATGAGCGCCAGTAACAACTCACCATCGGGTGGGCCGTATGCTCGTCTGCCTACACGGGTATTAAAAAAAATCAACCTTAAAGTTCTTTTTAAGTTCAGAATAGGCACAAAAACAAAATCGAATAACGTTTAAATACACAAATATTTCTTCAATGAACATTATGAGCTAGTCAAGCGGTAGGCAGCGGCTTGGCTCTGCCCTTGGCATTGCTGAAGTCCATGGGCGACGGTAACCACTCACCATCAGGTGGGCCGTATGCTCGTCTACCTACAAAGGCAATAAAAAAAAAAAAAGTCAAACCTTGTGATGAAACATTCCGAATAACTTCGGACGAGATAAGGCGTGGAGTCTGACCGCTTGTTCAGTTGAATTAGTAGCTAAAGCCATTGGCACCTTGTAATCGTGTAGGTGCGTCAGGAGACGTTTGGCACCTGGAAAAATCTTACACAATTAATGAAATAACGGTCGTATCTTTTTTTTCTACCTAAGCTGATAGCCTTGAGAGGCTATTTCAGCGTAACCTTAACTAATAGGTGAGCTCACGGGGCTCAAACCTGACGACGTTGCTAACACGAACCCTAGCAAGAGCCGTCCTTCGCAGAATCTACCACCGGGTCGGAAACGTGACTCACTGAGAAGATCCGGCGAGAAACTCGGTGGACTGTGTCTTTGGGTTAATTTACTCGTCGAGCCCTTGGTCGCAAGCGACAGGTTCGACGAGAACGATGACCGGTGCTTGAGGTACCTAAAAGCACCGTTTGTGGATCGGGAGGATCCGAATTGACGTGTTTGGGACGACGTCGACTACTTTCCATTCTTTCTGCAGGATCGGGAATGTAGTTACCGGCGGCCACGATGAGGGTTCGCGTGTCATGCCGCTATAACGAAGTGGCGGTCGTATCAAAGGCGTATCTAGTCCGCGTAATGCCCGTATGGAAACATTACCCTAGCGTCCTTTATTAAGTACGGAAAGGGAACAAATGTGACAGGTTCATTTAAATTGCCGTGGTAAAGGCCTCCTTTTTTTTTTGAGGGATTTTATGACCTGGTAGCTAAGACCTTTTTAGGTCATGTCTTATTTTAATTTATATTCTTATTTTTATGAAAAATGATATTATTGGAGTGAATGAAAAGAAATGAAGATGATCTATTTGAGATATTAATCAACTGGTATGAAATTAAATGAAATGAGATGAGATAAAATATAATCTCAGTAAAATGGTGGTCATTTATTGAAATTTTTTCAGTGGACTTTTTGGAGGCTCCCGAGAAGTACCGTCCGGCGCGGCGGCTTTGTTTCATTTTCCTACATTTGTGCACTTTCACAGATATTAAACAGTTAATAAACTACCGTTATTACACATTTAAACCTGAAGAAACACTAAATAGACAAAATAAAACAAATCACACAACTTCACTCATCGCGTTCCCGCCAAAAAGTCCTCAACCGTTACATAGCCTACATACAAAAAGGCTAAGGAAACGACCAATATTGTTTGCGTGTTCTGTGAAGGGCGCTGAAGATAGCCTCTCAACCATGGAGGGTAGAAGGAGCACGTCTTGTATAGGTGACACTTTGAAAAAGTGTCCGTCTGTAAACAGCGAGTTATTGTTGGAGGACTCACCGAAATAGCGCTAGTGTAGGAAGTGTAAATTATATGAATATATCAGTTTTATAGAGTGAAGTGCTGGAAAAATTTAATTTTTTTTTTATTGCTTAGATGGGTGAACAAGCTCACAGCCCACCGCCACCATCCACAACGTAAATGCGCCACCCACCTTGAGATATAAGTTCTAAAAATAAAAAAAATATGCAGTATTTAAAAATCTCAACTATTATGTTTTATTACTATTTAAATAGGAATTGTTTCTTTCCATTAATTTAGTATCCTACTCTAATGGTTTAAGGCACTGTTTTTAAAATTCTTCCACTTGCTACCGTAGCGCCATCTTAATTGGCTCCTTTTCAACGGACACTTTTTAATACACTAAGATGTCGCTCCTTATTTCTACACTCCACATATGAAGGGGACTTTGACATAAGCGTCAATAAGGTTGCATTTACCTTAAATTAACCAAATCTGAGACGAATTTACCATCGCGCACGCATCAAACAATACAGAAGTATAAACTTCGATATACCTTTCAGTAAGGGTGCGCTCGGCAACAATTTTTGAGCCAAATCAGTGAGCTGCTTCTCGAATTCGTCGACGGATATAGGTAACTTCAACAAGTCCACAACCGCCACACATATTTCCCTATCTGTGGTGCCGGTCATCTGCAGCAGAAGTTCTGACATGACGACGGAATTAATTCATAATTCGATTTGATATATATATTTTATTGTTTAGATTGGTGCATGAGCTCACAGCCCACCTGGTGTTAAGTGGTTACTGGAGCCCATAGACATCGACAACGTAAATGTGCCACCCACCTTGAGATATAAGTTCTAAGGTCTCAGTATAGTTACAAAGGCTCCCCCACCCTTCAAACCGAAACGCATTACTGCTTCACGACAGAAATAGGCAGGGTGGTGGTATCTACCCGCGCGGACTCACAAAAGGTCCTACCTACCACCAGTGATATTGTGAATGTAGACTTCAAAGGTGTTCTTCTCGATCATAAATCTTTCAAATACTGATTTTAATTAGTAACGACAACTCACCTGGTTACCGAATGTGTTAGGATTAAATTTCCAGTGTTATAACGATTATCTCAACCTTCAATTCAATCGTGAACATTTGTTAAGTACCTACGTATTTCATTAAAAAAATTGACACCCGCTTGCGGGATTGGAACACCGTTGCATCGCTAGATATGAATGCACCGGACGTCATAACCTTAGGCCACGACGACTTTAAAATCACAAATAATGTTACAATAATCCTTACGCGCGTTTGTAAATCCTTCGTGTAATCTTTTCCATATTTTTCGCAGATTTCTCGTATGATCTTGTGGTACAACACTTCAGAATCTAAAAAATACGCACACGAAATAGAGAATATATTTGTTCTTTTATTTCTCAAGTTGCACCTAAAAGTCACTATTTTCATTGTGGTGCTCGACCCGCAGATGTTCCAGATCGAAATCCAGTAGTCTTCCTTCTACCTATGGGAGTTAAAAGTATGGAGAATATTTTTTTAAGGAAGAACAGGTTGAAAAAATGTCCAATTGTGAGCAGTAAATCCGACCCCGGGCGATGGGGCAATGTAAAGCCGTCGTCGCCTGAAACGTGTTTTGTCTGAACCCCCGAATTCACTCTTAGTGCTTTTAGGCTCCTCAAGCACCGGTCACCATCCTCATCGAAATAGCCCATAGACACAACTCGCTGAGTTTCTCGCGGGATCTCCTCAATGGGTCGCGATTCCGTTCCGGTGGTAGATTCAGCGAAGCACTAATCTTGCTAGGGCTAGTGTTAGCAATTCTATCAGGTTGAGCCCGTGAGCTCACCTACCCGTACATGCGTAGCTGGAATTACCCTTTTTTGTGATTGAGGGATTACTGGTGGCCCGGAGGCCTTGTCAGTTTCACCAGGCCAAGAAGAATAACCCCAATTCGGCTACCAATTAGGTAGGGAAAAAATTTCAAAATACATTGAAGTTTTATTTAATTGACACGATAAAGTATCTCGCAGAAATTACAAACCTATGTCTTCTGGTTAGTAGGCGTATGCTCGCATAGAATAATGAATGGTCGTGTTCGCTAATTGACATCAACAATGCCAGTGGTTCAGCCAAGGCGTAGCCTACAACCGACCTACTATTGCCATGAATCATTTTAACTTGCATCAAAACTACTTAAGCATTAAAAACCCGCAATTATATACTTTTTAATAGTTTAATGAAAATCTATTCGACGGCAAGTAGCTGCACATACTGCCACTGGTAACTTTCGCTACACAATATTAGGTATATAGTATAAGGCAGACAGAATACCCGCCAAAACTGAACCATAAAAATTGCATTGCATTTGTAAAATGTTGTTTAGACATTTACTAATTGAATTTAAATAGAGTTGCATAATAATTGCGTTGATTAAGTTGTTGTTGTAATGTAACATCGACATGGTGCGTATACGACCTAATTTATCTACTCTTAGATTCATATATCTTCTTAAGTAATTATTCTGATTTTTTTTATAAATTTAATTCGTTTTTAATCATTTATGTTAGGTATGTCGCGATTAGTTTTCTTCGTTTTTTATTATTCATAATCTGTAAAAAATTAAAACGGCAAATAAAAAAATAAAAACTTAACGCTGGCTAATGCACGCACCGTGCTGGAGTCAAAAAAGAAAGAAGAAGAAGAAGAAGAAGAAATTCAAACCAAGCACGGTCCCATCCATGTCGAAAAGGCAGTGTGTAACTTTCTTATAGGACTTCCATATTGCTTTATCATCGGTTTTTAAACCAACACTTTTATTCTTCGTTGTGTAATTACGATAAAATTTCTCCAAAAACTTTTCAAATGCATCTCTCAATTTATTAATCGAAATTTGACGGAAAAAAATATCACAGTTTGTGATTTTATGTTTTGTCAAAAATATTTTCTCTAGCGTTTCGTTGATGGCTTACGTCACGTCTTAAATATTAAGCTATGGTCAATAGTAATATTCAACGACTTTTGTAAGAAACATAGATAAGTAATACACATACGTAGGGAAATAAATTTCTTTCGTTTATTCACAAAGACTGCAACACAGGGACGATGCCGACATAGAAAATGAACGCAGGGCATTGGCAGTTAAACGATTGAAATTTTTAGATATTATTGCTATAGAGTTCGCTTTTATAAACATTAATAGTAATCTATGTATTGTTATTTGACCTACACTAAATTTCAGATTTTTGAAGTGAAAACTTCTTTAGAATCGTTGTGATTTCAAACCGGATGCAACGGAAAAAACGACAGGTAAGAGACACAAATACAAAAATGTGTAGGATGAAGCCAGCAAAGAATGAGATAGGAATATACATACTATTTAATACAGCGCCATCTGTGAGATTTTTTAATACTAACGTGTGTATGAAAGCTCTTGTAGTGAATTTTAATTTAGGATTATACGTGAAATTAAAATATCAATTCACAGAGGGCGCTACCTTACAATTATTTACTAATGACAAAATTTTACATATTCTTCTTCTTCTTCTTCTTCTAGTGCCTCTTCAATCCTGAAGGTTGGCCGTTAGCTTTCTATATTCGTTTTTATCTGCAGCCAGCCGGAACAGCTATTTTACATATACTTAAGACGTTTAGGATAATTGTATTTTAATTTTGGAAGGTTTCACTTCTACCACGTGTGAATTGCACACATGTATTTTTTTTTTTCCATAAATCATTATTATGAGTATCATTTAAAAACTTTTCAAAGGTACATACAAGAAAAGTAGCTAGAATTTTTAGCGAAAAACACTTTTGAACATAACTTCTGAAAACCGGATAGAACACAACGTTGTTTTAATCATTATTTAAAACTACATTCGTCACCAATCTTTGATTAATCGAATACCTACCTTTAAAAAATCGGTTGACATTTTCAATTTCCTGTTCCCGTGCACAGTGTTTCACTTGATACTGATTACCTACCTAAAAATTCCTTCCTGTATTATTAATACGAACAATAATAAGAAATACAATTCACCACGAACTCTGTTTGATCGTGTTTGAAGATAAGCCGTGGCGTCTTATGAGGGACCATCACGATAAACGACAAATTTTAATGTCGATCTATTAAATCCCTAGCCTGTATAGACTAATGCTTACCCAACACCTTACTCATCATAAATCCTCTTACAATGATTTCATAAGAACATATCAGTCTCAGTTCGGGTCAAATATTCATAACATTTTACTGGTGGTAGGACCTCTTGTGAGTCCGCGCCGGTAGGTACCACCGCCCTGCCTATTTCTGCCGTGAAGCAGTAATGCGTTTCGGTTTGAAGGGTAGGGCAGCCGTTGTAACTATACTGAGATCTTAGAACTTATATCTCAAAGTGGGTGGCGCATTTACGTTGTAAATGTTTATGTGCTCCAGTGACCACTTAACACCAGGTGGGCTATGAGCTCGTCCACCCACATAAGCAATAAAAAAGTGGGACGTTACCAATTTTCCTCACTATCTCCAAATTCTTTTATTATAATTAGTTAATCTTTATAAATAATTTGTAGCGTCGAATAAATCCTTTTTAAAAAGAGTTCGGCCCTCTCACTACTAACATAATGAAGCTAATTTAATAATCGCATACGTACATGATGGTGCCACTGGCAGCGTGAATGTAGATTATACAACAACCTAGAATTAGATTCAATTAGTAAGTATCTGAAGACAGCATCGGAACGCTACTTCGAAAAAGCGGCAATACACGAAATGTGGCCGCCGCACTAAGCACTTCATTTCGGATCCTCCCGAACCATTATTGCTGCTTTTAGGCACTTCAAGAGCATCGATCACCGTTCTAGTCGAACCTGTCGAATGCAATGAAGGGTTCGTTGTGCAGCTTAACCCTCAGACACAGCTCACTAAGTTTCTCGCTGGATCTTCTCAGTGAGTCGCGATATCGATCTGGTGGTAGATTTAGCGAACAACTGCTTAAGCTAGGGCAGATGTTAGCAAGGGGTTTAAGTCTGAGCCCCGTGAGCTCGCCTACACGATAGTTTAAGCTAGCATAACCCATCGAGGCTACTAGCAATAGGTAGGCAAAAAAACTATATTCACTGAGATTCTTGTTGTATCTCCTCAGTAGCCCATCGATGCTACTGGCCGATAAAGGGACAAATAAGTTCGTCCATTTTAACTGCACATATATATTCTTGATTGCTTAGGTGGGTGCACGAGCTCATGGCACACCTGACATTAAGTTGTTACCGGAGCCCATAGACACCTAGATACAACTTAGATGCATCTAACACATCTTGAGATATGAGTTCTAAGGTCTCAGTATAGTTACAATGGCTGCCCCGCCCTTCAAGCCGAAACGCATTACTGCTTCACGGCAAAAATAGGCACGTCATAAACATTGTTGTCTTTTTTATTACAATATCAAATTACGAATAAATATTCTGGTTTCGGGGAAATAAAACAACGCAATAAATATTAAAAGTATAAGTTTGTGTTTTTAATTTACGATAAAATTCATTTAATTCAAAAAAGTTGTTCACCATTTATGGTCCAACCACCTACCTAAGATTGCAGGTTATATATAATCTTACTCTATGGATTTGCGGCAATGGATCAACAATTTTAATACGATGTATATGGTCTTTTCGCCTTAAAAGTGTACAATTTTCAAAAATAGTCGAAATTGAATTAATATGCGGAATCATTTGGTATCACCAGTATTTTTCTGACAAATACTGTCCAAAGAGCGTAGTTTAGTTTTACTTTTTTTTTGTTTATCTATATTTTGACTACTATTAACAAAATTAATACATAATTTTATCTTACTTTAAAAGACAGATAATGTTACTGGTAAAATATAAATGTTGCAAAAATGATTAATGTTAAAAAATATCACACATTACACCTTTAAAACACTCCTGTAAAATTAGTAAGTTTATACAGTTTACAGATTATACAGTTTTAATGCGAGAAGACGATATTTGTTTTAAACTTAATATTTACGAATTTGACTTAAATAGCAACCTCCCCAGAATGATATCTGCAATATTGAATGTTTTCATGTACATTACTCTGACCGTATCAATGGGCTGTGGCAACCATTTTAGATTATCCCAAAAGAATCTCAACTCTTGGCACATTGTATATAAAAAAACTTCATAATCCATTATTTTCAAAAGAAATGACCAAATTAGGTCTAGCATTGTAAATAAAAATAGGTACCATCTTAATGCTACTAGCTTTTGCTCTGCCAGCATTCCGCAGTATATTGTAGTGTTTGGTTGGTTTTAGGTAACTACTAGACTGCCTAACTAACCTTTTATAAAGTTCTCTCTGTTGTTAAGTTTAATATGCTTTTTTTTATTGCCCATGTAGGCAGACGAGCATACGGCCCACCTGATGGTGAGTGGTTACCGTCGCCCATGGACTTCAGCAATGCCAGGGGCAGAGCCAAGCCGCTGCCTACCTAATTATATTTACATTATAATATTCATACCAAGATTTTGGCACTGATTCTGTAAGCTACCTACCTTCCTACCTAGCTCCTACCCAGATAAATAGAGTAACAAGTTGGGTAGGAAACGAGGAAAGAATGATAAGTGTAATATAAATAAATAAACATTGATTGTGTAAGTTTAACAATTAATTAACACTTATTACCTTCTGCCAAATTTTAAATACAGACTACTATGCCATATAGAGGAAATAGCAGGAAATCAGGTGGCAGGAGGTAAAGAAGGAAACGGTTTTTATATCACATCCAACGGCTTGATAGGGCTTAGATGAAAATCTTCTATGAACGGATCAAATTGGTATCTATATCTTGAGTTCAGAGATCGACTGTACATTTCTGCTATCAGGGCATTCCTATTATACATCTTCTTGATCCTATTTACGGCTTGCATCTTTCTCACTTTACCGATCTCACTGACCGGAGCTTCAATGTATAGATAGCGCAACGTCTGACATTTTTCTACTAAAACACTGGGTTCGGCCACATCACTGATCTGTGTTTCAATGTCTTCTATAATATACACCTTTTCAAGTGATATGCATTCGCTTAATGTTAAATACAAAGCTTTAAAATCAATGTTCTTGCCTAGTATCCGGAAGTTCTTTAGACTTTTGCTTTCGGACAATGATTTCGATTTGATTACGGCGGAAGCAAAAATTGATTTGCATTCTAAATTAAAAGTTACAAGATTTGTGCACGAACTAAATAAGACATCAAAGAATGGTGTTGCATACCGCATCGATCCAGTCAAGCTAAAGTATGTTAGCTTTTTCAAGTATTCATAGGTGGGTTCCAGAAGCACTCCGTAACCGAAGCAAGCGTCAAAAAACACACTGACTCTGAGCTCTTTCTTGTCTTCGAATATATCATCGTAATTTAAATTTATGGTCGGAGCTATGATCTTCCGTTTCAAACCTGCCTTTTTAGGTCTCTCTGTCTCTAATTTAGACCCATCAGGCTCTATATAGTACCAGTCAATGGTCTTTCTTCTGACTTTATCATTGATGAATGATGGAAAATATTCTTGTAGTTGCTTAAACAGCTTTTGGAATAACGCTTCATTAAAAACGTTCTTTTCTTTCTCCCAGAATATCATTGACATGTTCCCATTTAGTGGAGTCTGCGGATCTTCAAAGAAGTCTTTGGCAGCTATATTAAAGTATCTCTCAAAGAATCCTCTTATCAATTCTGACCCATATATGTTATAATAACGTACTCTTGTCATTGTTATTATGCAATATTCATACTTTGTTAAATCTATTTTAGACAGGAGATGCTGCTGTACAGTTGTACCGTAGTATGAATTCAGGTCCTTCCAATTTAAGATAGTTATAAATAAAACTCGACATGGAACCATCATCATTGGCTCCTTGTAACTGTAATTGCTGACGTCTGTCGTGCAAACATAATCACATTCAGATATAGTATACTTCAGCGATTGTAACTTGGTTTTATTCAAAACGTGTATTGAAAAATTGCTGTACATTAAATTGATCGATGATCCAACAAAATGTATGTTTTCAAATTTTGCCAATAAATTCTGGCATGCTTCAATGAATTCTGGTGTCATTCTCGTCATGCCTAGTTTCCCAAATATATAGTTGATGGCGATATTCTTAACAGTAGGGCACAGGGGATGAATGTCAAGTAAATCACAGATGCTTATATCAGTGTATGTTACATCTAAAGTCTGTAGACTTTTCAAATGGCGTACGGCCTGTATGAGTTTAGTTTTCGTTAAATCATGCATTCCGCTAAGCGACAGGTCTTTTAGACTATAAGCGACTGCCTTAAAAAAATCAGTTTTCAAAGAATCTGCCGTCGATAGTATGTTCAGAGAAAACTTTAAGTTTTTTACGACTCCTTGCGTTATTATTTCCCTTAAAGGTTTACAAGTGTTGTATATATTATAAACGGTCGGCGTGTCTAAATATTTTATGATTAATATTATCATTTCGGCAGGTAAATTTAATAACGCCGGACTTTCTTCCATTTTGACTTTAGTAGGATTTGAAACAGCGTTAATAAGAGATCAACAGATTTTGTATTAGATTACGGGTTGTTATAATCACATGAACACTCTATATTGTTAGTAATTCAATTGGAAAACATATTAAAATTAATTAATTTTCAGTTTACTGTGCGATCAATAACAAACACAATGCCATGACAAATGACATTAGGGAATTGTCACATTTGTTTGTTGATTCGCTCATTTGTCATACATAAGGGAAAAGCCCATACAGCCCCAAATCTTTTGTATTTAGTTATTTTCTAACGAGACCTAGTATAAAAGATAAAGTGGTCCGAATTGAAATTTAATTAATCATGGAATAAAATTAAATGAAGTCAGAGAAGGCAATACCTCAGATGTTGGATACGATGAAATGAAATGGTCTTTCATGATCAGTAAAAAGGTGAAAAGGTTTACCAACAGTTCTATGGACTTTTGGAAATATCTTAATAATCTATATCGAGCGATTTATTTAACTTTGTCTCTCTGTAATTTTACAGATGGCCATAATACGATATGCCATCATTATTAAGCATTTAAAATAAAATAAATAAAATACAACATAAATTATTTATTTCAAATACAAACAAACGGAACAACCTAAGATTTTCCAAACGAAATAAACGAGCAACATTAATATAACGTAATTAGCTATCTTAAAACCAATACGCTTCCTCTGGGCGTATTCAGCGTCCGTCAGATTATCCTCTAACAGATATTTCCTGATGCCCAAACACCAAACGTTAATATACTCAACCCAATTAATTGAGGCGACGTCAAAATTAAATATAACTTGATCCGTTTTTGACAGATTATTAAACAATTCCTCCATGTTTTTGTCTTGGAAATACCAAGTTTTCGACGAGAAGTACGACAGAGCCACGTTCGTTTTATATACTTTCGTATTCACATCGACAAATCTAAAAAAAAAACGGGGTTTTGTGTGAAAGCTTCGTTGCTGATTTTCGTGGAAAGTGTATAAAGCTTGATTACTAGCGGCCAAATATACGAGTAGGTACCACCATCTTGCCTATTTCTATTAAGGAGCAGTTGTTTGCATCATTCAAAAGAGACAGAAATTAAGGAGAAGAGTAATTTTGTCCTTTTCTAGACTAAAAGAGACTAACTAGGGTTACTAATAATAAGTAAAAAAAAATCTTGATAAGACGATTTTAAAAACTGCCCAAATAGTTTTAATTTGCCTTCTACGTGTCTCGAAAACCAAAGGGATCATTAAAATTTTTAAGCCCGCATACATACCTAGGTTTGTTTCCCGTAACCTTCAGGAAAGTGTCCACAATATAAGCAGGCAGGTACTGCAGGATCCAAGTTAACAGGAGGAACAGCGTGGGGCTCGCCGTGAATACCACAAAGACGTCCCAGAGAGCTTTGGGACTTGGCATTTTGGCGGCAAACTCGAGAGCGTATTTCTGAATCTGCCCTAAAATTCAAACGGGGTCTCTAGTCATTGCCTGTGACATCACAGACCGCAGACGGTGACCGTTTAATACATTTAAAGCGGATAGTTTGACTAGAAGTGGAGTGTCTTGGGAGCCTTAGCCTTAGGGTAGGTGCCTTGACTATTTCTGGTACGAAGCAGTATGTTCCAGTTTGAAGCAGGTGGTGCAGCCGTAGTACTATAGAACAGGGACTTAGAACTCATATCTCAAGGTAGTTCACCCACGTGTTCCGTGCGCCTTAACACAACATATCAAACATTCTCTCGCATTTTTTATTCTAGAGTCTTCACTTCACGAACTCGACTTACCGAAAGTGATCATGTTTCTGCTGACAGACGTCAAAGCGTAGATCTTGGGAACGTCGCTTCTGACGTTCGCTGTCACGTAGCCAGCCACGATGATGCTGTTATTGACATAGTCCACCGGCACCACGCTGGATTTACTCGACACGTCTGCGTATATGACGTGGGTCAGTCCAAGGCCAGGGCTCGCCACAATCTGATAAACGACGGAAACTGTACAAAGACTGATACAGTGCCCGACGACAAATTTCAAACATCGACTTTAGAAAGAGACGAGACGGCTTCGTAGAGCGCTCTCTCTGTCGCACGCTGCACTAAGAGCCCGGTATCTATATGCACACGGAACTGACCACTGACAGACGTCACGTCGGCAGCGTGCGAAAGAGACAACGCTATATGAAGCTGGATTCAGTCGATCGTCTCTTTCTAACGACCGACGTGCAACATTTAACGCCGGGTAAGATATCAACGGGCTCTTAATTAATACAGTTTTTAGTTTCAAATAAGTTGACCAATGGTCAATGGCACAGCAGTTAGCGCCCCTGACTGTTGCGCCGAGGGTCTATGGTTCGATTCCTACATCGGAAAAACATTCGCATCACGAATAGTTTTATTTGCTCTTTCTCACAGCGTGTAACGAAATGCATAGTCTCATTTTTTATAATATTATCTGTGCATTTATCACACAAAGAATAAAACCCCAAAGTTTTTTTTTTTTTTTTTCCTACCTAAACTGGTAGCCTTGAGAGGCTATTCCAGCGTAACCTTAACTAGTAGGTGAGCTCACGGGGCTCAAACCTGACGACGTTGCTCACACGAACCCTAGCAAGAGCCGTGCTTCGCAGAATCTACCACCGGATCGGAAACGCGACCCACTGAGAAGATCTAGCGAGAAACTCAGTGGGCTGTGTCTGAGGGTTAATTTACTCGTCGAGCCCTTCGTCGCAAGCGACGGGTTCGACGAGAACGGTGACCGGGCTCAAAAGTAATGAACATTTTCCTAATAAGATATGACCTAAAGGTCTCTGTCACCAGGTAATAAAAAAAAAAATAAAAAAAATTTGGACTTTTTGGCGGGAGCGCGAAGAGACAAGTTGTGTGATTTGTTTTATTTTGTCTATTTAGTGTTTCTTCGGGTTTAAATGTGTAATAATGGTGGTTTATTAACTGATTAATATCTGTGAAAGTGCACAAATGTGGGAAAATGAAACAAAGCCGCTGGACGTAACTTCTCGGGGTCATCCAAAAAGTCCACTGAAAAAATCCTAGTAAATGACCACCATTTTACTGAGATTATATTTCATCCCATATCATCTCAATTCATTTCATTTAATTTCATCCCAGTTGATTAGTGTCTCAAATTAATCATCTTCATTTCATTTCACTCCACAATATCATTTTTCATAAAAATATGAATAATATAAATTAAAATAAGACATGACTTAAAGGTCTCAGTTACCATGTCATAAAATCTATTAAAAAAAAAGTGTGTGTGTCCGCTCCGACGCACGACTGGAGTTTACTGGATATAAAAAATTAAACGAAACAATACGAGAAATAGTTCTATATTACGACAACACGATACACTACAGATTATTAACAAATTAACGAGACACAAAACAAACGACTAACAAATATATGAAAATACAATAATGAGAGAAACGCGCGATCAGTACGAGGCTTTGTGGCGGACTGCCGGCGCAGCAGCCCGGCGTCACCTGCGATAACGCATTTCGTGTGACATGCGCAATCAGGCGCATAACGCATTTCGTGTGACATGCTAGTACGATTTTGGTCCCCATAATTTTCATACCCCGGGCCTATATATGTAAATCGATTCTAAAGGAGTAAACTCCAAAAAGAATAAATTTCATTCCATATCATCTCATTTCATCCCAGTTGATTAATGTCTCGAATTAATCATCTTCATTTCATTTCACTCCATATTATCATTTTCCATAAAAATAAGAATATTACTTAAAATAAGACATGACCTAAAGACCTTAGGTCATAAAACACCTTTAAGAACATCTCGACTTTGGCGCCTTTTTTTATACATTTTCAAATATGTTTTCTAAATATTTTTGTCGGACTAAAATATACATAACATCACTTCCACAAACCGACTTATTATTTGTCCCGAACGTGGACACCGTTATTTTGGAATAATTAATCTATAAATGAATTCAAGGGGTTTTATAAACTAGATACTAGCAAAAATGGCATCAGAAGAAACCAATTGCCATACTGTACGTATGTTTACGGGCATTCGCAGTGGATCTTGACTACACGGGAGTTAAACAGGCGAGCCACAAAGGGTTATTATGACAAATAGCTCGATAAAACATATAAAATTTAAGAGATAACTTAATATTTTGAATGTATTATTCTTTTATTACAACGCAAGGAATCCCATTAATCCATTCAATGTATTTTTTTTCCTATCGATTTGCTGCAGGCCTAAGAATCTATTACAACTACGTGCAGACGGGTAGGTGAGCTCACGGGCTCAACCTGAGAGAATTTGCTAACACTAACGCTAGCAAGAGCAGTGTGCTTATTGGGAGTTTTTTAACTTTCTCGATAGCGTAAAAGTTAACTTAAATTTGTGTGGAGTTGGAACGTTTGCCTACGTTTGCCGCTAGGGGCGCTGTTCCGACTGCATACACATTTGAATTAACTTTTACGCTATCAAGAAAGTTAAAAAAACTCACACTAAGCACACAGTGCTTTTCAGAATCTAGCACCGGATCGGAGCGCGACCCACTGAGAAGATCCGGCGAGAAACTCGGTGGGCTTTATCTATGACCGACGTTAAAGTCAAATGTCATACCGCATTTGCGCCGAATAAACAAGTCTTATCCAACCAGCCAGGCATCGGTTCGTAATAAGCGCCAATCACTGAAAATATAAATCATTACAATTCATTGCACTTAATTATCGTTAACACGATTTCATTACTTTGTCATTTATGTATATTATATCGGCAATGAAAGGCTATTTGGTATAAGCGACATTTTTGCAATTTTACAGCAGAGCCATTTAAAGTTTAAAATTTTGGAAAAAATATCATAATAAAAAAAAGGTGATTCAGCTATTTGAATGGACTAAACTCTTTCGAAGTTCAATTAAGAACATAGGCAGCGATAAAACGGTAGGCAGCGACTTGGCTCTGCCCTTGGCATTGCTGATGTCCATCGGCTCCGGTAACAACTTGAAACAAAGAGGGCCGTCAGCTCGTCCATCCATCTAAGCAATAAAAGGAGTCCTTTGGGCACGCACGCTACTTATACCACCACTCAGCCTATTTCTGCGCGAACCAGTGAAAAAGCTTACGTCCCAATATGAGTTGGTATTTACGTTGTTGATATCTACGGAGTCAGGTCTGGATTTAAGACCAGTTTGCCCTGTCATCGTTGATCCATCTGAACTATAAGCAGACCGATTTAAGAACGATGGATTCACAATGTCATGACTTCCTCACACGAGATCGGAGCTTGCCCGTTGGTCTGATTACAACTGAAACTTCTGATTAGAAATGAATTAAGATTTACCAACTGCGGGCCTCACTATACAGATGGGTAGATCCGAAGCATTCTTCACTAAAGCTTCAGCCAAAGCTTTTTCGAACGTGTAAGTGTTCGGCCATCCTTTTATGATACTGAAAAAAAAAAAACATTAATCGTAATGTGGAATTATGGCACCATCGAATTGGACAGCTGGGTTCTTGCCTTGGAGTGATGGCGTCGAGTTGTTCCGCATCTAGTTTCTCTGCTATCGCCAGCATAGCTTCAGGACTCCATGTGCAAGGATAGAATTCTTCGTGGACCTCTGTGTTTACCCTCTGGTGCGTAGCGTGGACATACGCGGTGGAAACATGGACGAAGGTTCTGTAAGAAAAACTATTACTATAGGGGGTTCTTTTTAATTGATCATACGGCCCGCTGTTCTATATTCAGTTGCCATCGCCGGTGATCGTCAGCCAAACAGCTGATAGCTCCTCACACTTCGACATAATAAGGATATTATAGCGCTGTGAAATATCATGGATGAGAGTTAATTCCAGAGCCGTATGGTAACGTGGCAGAGAAGATCTCTAGGAATGCACAGTGGATGAACGCAGCCGTTCTAGGTATGGATAAACTCTGCTGCGGGGGTGGGCGGTGTGATGGTAAAAGATGAAGGTATCATTCTGATCAATTCCTCATGGAACATTCGAAACACAGAGAGAACCGAAGCTCCTCAAGACTCAGAGAAGCTTAATGCGGAAACCTTGGTCCACACAAGAGGTTCCTAGGTATTTCTTCCCTAAAAAATGACAATGGAGCAAATGGAGAAAAGATTTAGAAGCCGGAACAGGATAAATATATGGATTTATTTATATATTATATATTCATTTATATATATATTTTTACTGGTGGTAGGACCTCTCGTGAGTCCGCGCGGGTAGGTACCACCACCCTGCCTATTTCTGCCGTGAAGCAGTAATGCGTTTCGGTTTGAAGGGTGGGGCAGCCGTTGTAACTATACTGAGATCTTAGAACTTATATCTCAAGGTGGGTGGCGCATTTACGCCGTAGATGTCTATGAGCTCCAGTAACCACTTAACACCAGGTGGGCTGTGAGCTCGTCCACTCATCTAAGCAATAATATATATATATATATATACATAGACGACCAACGACCGCCGTGTTTCCAAAATGCGTTAATTCTCCTTAAAAAATTAATATGAATTCGGGTCCTTGTTAAATCATGAAAATTGTACATACTCGTACATCTGCTTTTTTGGACATTTGTTAGTCGGTGTTATCCTCTTCCTCCTTGCTTTGATAATCGTTAATGCTGAGAGGTTTGTGGACTCCCTTATTAACTTAAAACAATACTTTTATGTTTTAACTTTGTTATAGTTCAGCTATAAATAAAATAACCGAATCAATCTCACAATACTCTGATAATACGAATTAGCCTTTCTCGAAACAAACAGAGTAGAGCCATTCATTATTCAGAATCTAAACTCACTTAAGCTTCTTGCAGTCTCTGCCTAAGCTCAAAGCTTCTCTAGTCCCGCGAAGGTTGACCGCCGTCGCCACCTTCAGCGGCTCATCAAACCTAGTCGTCGCAGCCACGTGGAATATCACATTTACCTGCAAATTTTATCAACGCATTTATCATCCCAGACTTTCTTGGTCGCAAGACCTTGCGAGAGGTCTTTGGAAGTTTCCAGTTGCAATTAACCAGGTCCCTATTTCCGGTGCCGTATAAAATACGGTTTTATTAGGACAGTTATCCTACAAGGATCGCACTGTACGGTCACCATCTTCACCACTTCATCTATGAAGTGCTGGGAAAGGCGCCGTTGAAAAAACAAAAAATAAGAAAATAAATTGGATATCTATACCGATTCTTCTTGACTCGGTATGCTATGAATGTATCGATAACCCATACATCCAAGTCTGTTAGTGTATTTCCAGGCTATGGTTTAATAAAAAAACTCGCTAACACAAAAAGTTAAGTGGGGCAAATCACACAAGGCTTGTCGAGAGTACTTCACTTGCTGACTTCCATGGGCGACGATAACCGCTCACCATCAGGTGGACCTTATGATCGTCTGTCTACAGGGGCAATGGCAATAAAAATAGGCCTTTCGACTCCCAAACTAGCATACCTCATGGTAATCAGAAACTGAATTACGTAAAATATTTACACTTCTGTTTGGCCGTTAAGAGCAGTGACCAGAGTTACCGAGTCAATCAAATAAATAAGCCCTAAATATGTTGCTCTCGTTTTTCGGTCGTGTACTAACTAACTTTTTTTTTAATGGAAGTTATGACCTGGTAACTGTGAACTTTAAGTCATGTTTTATTGTCATTTCTAATCTTATTTTTATGAAAAATGATAATATGGGATGAAATTAAATGAAATGATATGAGATGATTTGGGATGAAATATAATCTCAGTATCATTGTGGTGGTCATTTATTGAGATTTTTTCAGTGGACTTTTTGGAGGATCCCGAGTAGTTACGTCCAGCGACTTTGTTTAATTTTCCCACATTTGTGCACTTTCACAGATATTAAACAGTTAATAAACCACCGTTATTACACAGTTAAACCTGAAGAAACACTAAATAGACAAAATAAAACAAATCACACAACTTCACTCCTCGCGTTCCCCCGTCAAAAAGTCTGTACTAACTAACGAATCCGTGGAGCACGAGGTCACAAATATTCTCTCTAGTTTACCTGCTCGCATATTATCGTTCGGTCGTGGTCCGTCAGCCCCAGGTCCAGTTCAGCGATATCACCTTCCACCGGCACCAACTTCTCTTCAAATTTCGGTTTTTTCTCCCGTAAGCGATTGAATACCTATATAACAAAGCTGCGTGTGTAGGATTTTGTGGCGGTACCTATCTTACAACCCAAGATATTTGACAGATGCCTGAAAATCCCTTACGACATTATTAAGATAAGCTTGCATATACAAGTTCCGAACAACGACATTCGGATCGTCGGTCTACCGAGGAACTTCCGCTCGGTGGAAGTTCTTTCCTCCGTCGTTAAGCCTCCCACATATTTCATTTAAAGCTACCGTAGCAGAATAACACTTAATTATCGTTTGCTGACATGTCCGGAATAGTTTTAAGGGTACAGCGGCGAAGCATAAGGCTTACTAGATGCGTGCCACCGCCCTGCTGATATTGTGATGAAGCGAAGCGACTTTCTTTTTCAAATCGCGCGGACGGATGCCGATTTTCCCTGTTTTCCAATTACAGCACAAGAGCGCATTATGCGGCATAATGTTGAACGATAATATAAACAAAATTTCGATCAATGCCAACTTGAAGAAAAAACACTTGTTAATTTTCTGTCACTGAGTCGGTATCGATTGGGAGTATCACGCGAGAGCAGTACTTTTGAGAGTGCTCGATTGTGCGAAGCGTTGCTGTAGTTAAGTGTAGTTGGAACATTCAACGTTGAGCATTATGCCGCATAATGCGCTCTTGTGCTGTAATTGGACAACAGGGTTTGATGTCCTCGCCGAATCCGTCGCTTGCGATGAAGAGCTCGACAAGTAAATTAACTCACCGACACAGCCAGTGGCGGATTAAAGGTCCAGAGCGCTCTAGGCAATCACTTTATCGGCGCCCCTGTACCGGCCATAAATGGTCATTATCTATACATATAAATAAAATTGGTGTGTCTGTTTGTAATATTGAAATAGCCGCTTTTTACTACATGCATATGAATATTTACTTCTCAAAGTTACTCCTTATATCAGCTACCTATCAGTGAAAGTCTCGTCAAAATCGGTCCAGCCCTTCCAGAGATTAGCCGGAACAAACAGACAGACAGACAGACAGACAAAAATTGTAAAAAATGTTATTTTAGTGTATGTACTGTATATGTATTCATATGCATGTAGTAAAAAGCGGTTATTTCAATACTACAAACAGACACTCTAATTTTATTTATATGACGTATAGATTCTGAGCTCGCGCGCCTAGTTTGCCTTACGGATAATCCGCCTCTGGACACAGCCCACTGAGTTTCTCGCCGGATCTTCTCAGTGGGTCGCGATTCTGATTCGGTGGTAGATTCAACGAAGCACTGCTCTCGCTAGCAAGAGCCAGTGTTAAATTTAAGTGTTGTGTAAGTTATGTGTTTCGCTTTTTAAATCAACATTAGGTATATTCGAGTGGTGATATTTGGTTTAAAAGCGAAATGTTCACAACTTTACAAGAGAGCCATTTAAAGTTTAAAATTTTCAAACAATTTAATAACAAAAAAACTTCTTCAGCTATTTCAAAGAGTAAACATAATTGGAGTTCAATTAGAAAAACCGAACTATTGATGCTAATACCAAATAAAACACATAATTATTATTACAAAGGTAATTGTCGCGTATCAAGCGAGATGTCGTTTAAACCAAATAGCATTTCACCTCTCGATATTGTTTCTGAAGTTTCCTAATACATTACTGTTAACCTGGTACAAAAAAATGAGAACTTACAGCCTCTGACGTAATCTCTGAAAATCTCTCCTTGACATTCTTCCCTTTTTTTCGCCTTATTAGTATATAAATCTTGTTTATGTCACATGATCTGAAAAAAATCAATGTACAGAAAAAGTGAATGAGGAAAATTAAACTTAAAATTAAAGTAATTATTGATTCAGGTAAGTGGAGAGGTTGGCGTAATCCAAGTACGTAATGACAATCCGTAATTCCGCAATTTAAATGCGATAGTTTGTTTGTTTGTTTGTCCTTTATTCACGTCAAAACAAAGCAACGGATTGATATAGTCAGGAGACAGATCTAGGCCAATTTTTACCCGAGCAAAAGTACTCCTACGGGAACCTATATCTTTTTAATTTTTGTTTTATTACTTAGATGGGTGGAAGAGCTCACTACATACTCGGTGTTAAGTGGTAACCGGAGCCCATAGACAGCTATAACGTAAATGTCGCCGCCGCCCTTGAGATATGAGTTCTAAGGTCTCAGTTTTAACAGTACAACGGCTGCCCCGCCCTTCAAACCGAAACGCATTATTGCTTCATAGCAGAAATATGGTATAAGTTCTATGGTTTCAGTATAGTTTTATTTGTCAAAAGACCGGAGTAGCGGCTGTCCCTATTGGATACCTCCTATGCCGCTTCGTATTAGCCATGTCCCCATTCTGAGGACTGATCAAGTCCCCATCCAAAGATTCCCCAAAAAGGAATTGGGTTGAGAGGCATCTATCCTTTTTTCGCTACCTATTTGGTGGTAGCCTAAAAGGCTATACTAGCTACGCGCGAGTAGGTGAGCTCACGGGCTCAGCTTGAGAGAATTTGCTAACACTAGCCATTTACCTTTTTGGTATTTGTGGGCTTTTTTCCTACCTAAGCTGGTAACCTAGGAAGTAATACCAGCGTAAACTGACGAATAGGTGAGCTCCTTAACCTGAAGGCGTCACTAACACTAGCCCTAGCAAGAGCTTCGCAGAATCTACCACCGGATCGGAATCGTGACCCACTGAGAAGATCCGGCGAGAAACTCAATGGACTGTCTATTTAAACGCTGCAATGGACTTTGTTAGAGATGGTCTCTGGTGCATAACTCTGTGTCAATCTCTCTAACAACCAATTTCCTTTTTTTGTTGATGTATTTATTAGCCACTAGCTGACCCGGCAGACTTCGTAGTGCCCCAATCGATAAATAAAAGACCTAAACTTTTGTATAAAATAAACTTAAAACAAACTAAAGGAATCCGTCCGACGGGGGACACATCAAAGGGAAAACAAAATTGTTATTTTTATTTAATTCCGAGCATTTTCATATTTATCTACCTTTTAAACCTTCTCTGGACTTCCACCAATAATTCAAGATCAAAATTAGTCAAATCGGTCCAGCCGTTTTCGAATTTTAGCGAGACTAACGAACAGCAATTCATTTTTATATACTACCACATTAATCAAATTGTAATGATATTCAATTTTGTTTCTTTAAGATTTCAATAACATAACAAAAGAGAGAATGATAAGGACCAAACTAATAGAATATTCCTGTGATTATGGGCGAATTTTGCTGGATGAACATTAGTAAGTGCGCTTAAACATACAGAATACAGGAGATATATAAACTTAATATACATATGAATTATATTATTGTCAGATTGATCTTTGTAACGTGGTTCGACCGCGTAATCCAAGTGACTGACGCAAACAATCTTGCTTCGACAATCTTAGAACAAAAAACAAAAAACAAACAATTTAAAAGTAAAATTTTGCACAAGAATACTTATTAACACAACCCTTTGTATGTATATTACTAATGCATTGTTATTTTAAGATTACATAAATTTTAATAAATTGAAATTGAAAATAGTGTAAAAGTATATATTTTTTATTGTAAAAAAAGCGTAGGGTGTATCAGGTGTTATTTACTTATAAATATTTTTCTGACAGATATGAGTAGAAGAATTATTATTTCAATAATATCTTAAAAAGCAGCCCACGCATTTTTTAAAATAATATATCATATATTTTTGAACATTATTTTCAATTTAATTTACTAACATTTATTTTCTATTTTTTAGTTGAATTTTATATAAAGCGTGTTTTTTAGTTTTTTTAAACTATTATTTATTTTTAATTTTTTAGTAAAATTTTCTATAAAAGCGTATTTTTAAAACTATTATTCCGGACGGCCACCGCTCAGGTTTCAGCCACCACGTGTGATTTTTAGACTTCTTACTCGTGGCAAACGTGGTGGCTCGAGTATTGCCGCAGTGGCTGTCGCGGAACGGGTGCTGGGATTGGTTCGAGGAAAATAACGAAGGCTTCAAGTATGGCGTTCACACGGTCCTCGTGGCTTGACCGGCGCAGGGCGTAGGAGCGAGTCTTTTCTTCTTCGGTTGGCGCTCTCCTCTTCTTCTGGAGAGGTCTTGACTCGTCGGCTCGCTGTCTCGAACTGAATTTGCAGCGAGGTAGGCCCCCTATTTATGGTCGCCCACACGCACTCGGCCAGCGCTATTATGAGTCCGAGCACGGTGGGCGTCTATTGTTCTCTCGGCCGCCTCGCTCGCCTATTGTTTGCCTAGTCGCTCTATTAGTTGCCCGTATTGTGACTCGCTCCTGCGTTCCCACGACAAATTAAAGACCACGAGGACCAATCTTTATTTTCAAACAAAATATTTACAAATTACTTATTTCTATTTACATTCTCTCTATTTATTTCACAGCTATTTTTCACATACTATCTATTTACGGACATTTATAACTATTTATTCTCTATTTTAACTATTTTCTAACACAGTCTATTTACGGACATTGTCTATTTCTATTAAATCTCGCTGTACTTTGCGAACATATCTCTATTTAACTATTACTATATTTTCTATCTATTTTTAAACTATCAATGTCCGTCGCGAATAATATCTATTCTACATTTATTCATGTCCGTCGCGAACAACTATTAAGTACTTTAACATCAATTCCTGCCTTATCGACTATAGATAAAAATTATATAAATTGGCAAAAATCTTATTTTGCAAATTGAATAATGGAATAATCTTATCAAATTAGTGTATTGACGGACCTCGATAAATCTACAAAGTTTGAATGAAATCTGGCCGTTTAAAGTGGGTCAAAATCGCGTCTAAAGGAGTCAGTTACAAACATACAAACATACATACAAGTGAAGCTAATATAAATCGTGTAAAAAAGAACTTAAATACGAGTAATATTAACTTCAAAAAAAAAAATTTGGCACGTGACTTTTTTGACTACTTTTTGCCGTACAGTTCCTTGTATTGGTATTTCGTTTATGTATAGATTTTTTTTTATTGCTTAGATGGGTGGACGAGCTCACAGCCCACCTGGTGTTAATTGGTTACTGGAGGCCATCGACATCTACCACGTAAATGCGCTACCCACCTTGGGATATAAGTTCTAAGGTCTCAGTATAGTTGTCTCACCTTTCAAAACTAACGCATTACTGCTTCACGGCAAAAATAAGCAGAGTAGTGGTAACTACTCGTGCGGACTCACAAGACGTCCTACCACCAGTGTTTACGCAAATAATAATTTTGCGGGTTTGATTTTTATTACACGATGTTATTCCTTCACCGTGGAAGTCAATCGTAAATATTTGTTGGGTACGTATTTCATTAGATAAATTGGTACCCGCCTGAGATTCGAACACCGGTGCATCGCTCAACACGAATGCACCGGATGTCTTATCCTTTAGGCCACGACGACTAAAATCTTAAATCTGCTAAAAGAGTTTGCGGTCTGCATGAACGCTGAAGATGAACTGCTTCTTCATGGCTGTTCAAAGAGTAGGTCGATGGCATACACTCGGGGTGATTCCCAGTACAATTCGTACTGGGAATCACCACTAATAAATACCTAGACATTCACGTCTCACTCGGTTTTAAGTAGTTGCCTCAGATACATCCAGTCATCGTTCTCGTCGAACCCGTCGCTTGCTAGGAAGGGTTCCACGAGTAAATTAACCCACAGCCCAGTGAGTTTCTCGCCGGATCTTCTCAGTGGGTCACGATTCCGATCCGGTGGTAGATTCTGCGAAGCTCTTGTTAGGGCTAGTGTTAGCGACGCCCTCAGGTTAAGGAGCTCACCTATTCGTCAGTTTACGCTGGCATTACTTCCTAGGTTACCAGCTTAGGTAGGAAAAAAGCCCACAAATACCAAAAAGGTAAATACCTCTACCCACCTTGAGACACGAGTTCTAAGTCTCAGTTTTACAGTACAACGGCTGTACCGCCCTTCGAACCGAAACGCATTTCTGCTTCACGGCAGAAATAGGCGGGGTGGTGGTAACTACCCGTGCGGGCTCACAAGACGTCCTGCCACAAGTACAATACTGCAATCGTTAACTGAACTAATTAGACTAGATTTTTATTGGTGGTAGGACCTCTTGTGAGTCCGCACGTCTAGGTACCACCACCCCGGCTATTTCTGCCGTGAAGCAGTAATGCGTTTCGGTTTGCAGGGTGGGGCAGCCGTTGTAACTATACTGAGACCTTAGAATTTATATCTCAAGGTGGGTGGCGCATTTACGTCGTAGATATGTATGGGCTCCAGTAACCACTTAACACCAGGTGGGCTGTAAGCTTGTCCACCCATCTAAGCAACAAAAAAAACATACCCTTGTCGTTTTAGCTTAATGTTCAATGAACCCTGAATTCAACCGTTAAGACCCCACCTCAAGTGATTACAATAGCTTCTAGCGTGCAAGTTGTGTAATGTGCAAGGTTCACGAGTGCTCAACATGCAGTATAGAGCCGTAGCGAAGCGACGACCAGCATCGGTTTATGGTTCAATTCTTTGTACCTCACCTGAGCAGTTTCTCTATCAGTTGCTTCCCAATGAATCCAGTTCCTCCGGTTATAAACACGTTTGTGTTTTTGTAGAACTTCTGCACGTCCGAGAGGCCTCTAGCGATGGCCTCATCGATCGGCTTCTGCCTATTCAGAATCTCCAATTCTATGGCCGCGGCAGGATCCATGGTGATTGAAACGCCACTTAAACTAATAGATTCATTTTAATGTCACACACCACGTCCGGTCGTGTCTGGTCTCGCTTGACACTCTATCTGACACCGCACTACACAAAGTAAAAGTTCACGCGACACTCTCCTCACACCGTCGTCACACTGCCGTACGTGTCAATACATAATTTGTATACTAACGCGCGTGATTATAATCTAACTTCAATTAGTGCTGACACTAAGTTATCAATGAACTGGATTACTTACGTTGCAGTTTTATTGTTTGAATTAATTTAGTTCTTGGATTGCTTGTTGATCGATATTTCCTACACGTGAACGTCTAGCTAGTGGCAGTCGGCTAAAGATGTATGCTGTAGAGCCAACGGTCGCGGGAGCAAATGGGTTCTCGAATGAAGACCGAAAAGCCTTTGCAAGTCGTCGCCTACTTAGGCAATGGGGCGGTTACTCGCGAGGGTTAGCTAGAGGATCAGGAGAACCAGACCAGACTCGGTGATGTAGATTGGGAGAGGCCTGCGTTCGTCAGTGTGACAACTCTACAAATGTGGGCTGATGATGACTATCCCAGATGCCTAAATGAGTTCTTTTATTTATTTATTTTTATTGCTTAGATGGGTGGACGAGCTCACAGCCCACCTGGTGTTATGTGGTTACTGGAGCTCATAGACATCTACAACGTAAATGCGCCTTCCACTTTGAGATATAAGTTTTAAGGTCTGAGTATAGTTACAACGGCTACCCCACCCTTCAAACCGAAACGCATTACTGCTTCACGGTAGAAATAGGCAGGGCGGTGGTACCTACCCGTGCGGACTCACAAGAGTTCCTACCACCAGTAAAGTAGTTAGTTCTCGGAGTATTTAGTGTTAAACAACGCTAGGTCACGGTTTGCCCGTCACCCATCTAGAGGCATGAGGTTTCTGTCTCAATTAATATAGTATAACGGATGCCCGGCCATTCAAAACGAAAAGCGTTACTGGTTCACGGCAGAAACAGGAGAAGGAATGATCTTAAAAACCACCGATTCCTCTCAGTGCTAAAACTGTATTCCTGTTTAGTGGTAAAGCCTAATTCGAATAAATGATTTATGATTTTAATAATTTCATAAAGAAACATGATATTGTACTTACTTACCTTGTTTAGTTTCGAAATATAAGTTTTGAAATAGTTTTGTTATACTTTTCACCCAAAATAAAAATCAAAAACACAATAGCGACGTTCCTATTACTAACAATATAGTGAATGGAAAATATGAATTACGTACGAAAGATTTATACATTTTAAAAGTTTTTTTTTTACTTTAGGAACACGAAATTATATATTTTATGCGTAATATGTACCTGAGATATTGGGTTCTGTATTAATAATAAAAGCACAGAGAGCCTTTGTCACGAACATATGAGGGGTATAAACTTGTCACGTGGAGCGCGACTAGTCGCAGGGACACGCAGGCTCACAGAGCCTCCGCTACACACACACACGCATGATGTGTGCACCGACCGTGGTCGGTCTCAGTATAGTTACAACGGCTGCCCCACCCTTCAAATCGAAACGCATTACTGCTTCACGGCAGAAATAGGCATAGCGGTGGTACCTATCCGATTGGACTCACGAGAGGTCCTACCCCAAAGGCTAACTTCATATGACCACGCGCTATAAGTTCTACAAAACTTTATCGACCTGTTCAGTTTTCAACGCAATCTTTAAAAAAATCAAAAGACGCAACTGACATCCTAAAGTAGTTAAAAAAAAAAAAAAAAATTCCTCGTGTAGCTCAAGTTTTTTTTTTTAATTCCCTGGTAGACAGACGAGCATAAGGCCCACCTGATGGTGAGTGGTTACCGTCGCCAATGGACTTCAGCAATGCCAAGCCGCTGCCGGGATATAAAGTTACAAAAAAAGAAAGCCTTTCACTTTCACTTTTCGGTATAAAATCCATAAGCAAATTGCCTCTTCCACGTCCATTCTCCAATGTCGATGGCAGATTGTCGCGCGTACATTGACGCGCGGTATGGTGCGATTAAATGAACTTAGCCCAAATCCCCCGATGACAGATCCCCAAATAAAACTTCAACTTCCAAAGCCATGACCTTTATTCGTTCATACGAAATGCGATAAAAAATAACAAACACAATTCACATTTTAATACATTACAATTTTATAGAAATAAAAAAATTATTCTATCATCGGCCAAAATTTTTCGGTTTTTCCTCTCAAAGAAATTTAACACCGTCCATATCGCTGTCATTACACTAAAACATGACGAGAAAGTATCTCCTCTCTAATTCTTACAAATCTTTAATTTTACAAAGCTATCTTCGTATTGAATTTTTCACGAAAATACAAAAACAATCAATCACAATGAATTATTGATCAGTGGATTTGAGCCGCTGCTTGTAATGTGAAAATATTGGCATTTTCATTTGCAAGCATTGTGTCTCAGACTCTCCATTTCTAATGTAGTGTAAGTACTTTGAGGTCATTATAAACTGCAAACAGTTCACAATATTACTCCAGAAATAGGGTGCAAGAAATTTCAATGCCAATCATAAAAAACGTTGCAAAATCGCAACAAATCCGCTTATAGCTGTTCAAAATTTAATAAAACAATTCGACAAAGAAATTCAAAGTCTGAATGTGGCACCTGTGACAGAGAAGTCGAGAAGTGCGCGTTTGGGATGGTATGGACATGTGATGAGACGAAATGACAATGAGGTTGGTAAGAGAGTTTTAACTATGAATGTGGAAGGCTAAAGAGGAAGAAGTAGACCTAAGAAAAAATGGATGGATTGCGTGAAAGACGATATGTGTAAGAGGGGAGCAAGCGAAGAAATGGTGTATGATAGAGGAGTATGGAAGGAGAAAACATCTTGCGCCGACCCCAGTTGATTGGGAGAAGGGCAGGAGAATGATGATGATGTGACAAAGTGACTTAAATACAGACGTAGTGTTGCTACACAGTTTCTACTACAAATGTAGGAACGGTATGTATGGATTAAGGACAGATATAGCGCATGACTGAGTGAGAGAAATAGATGTCGTGTCAGCAATTAAGGGAGACAGCAAATGCATGCTTGACTTATAATTTTCTTTTAAGCGAGATAAGGAATGAGGGTAGTCACCCGATGCAATGTCGGACAAACGCAGCGTAACTATGAAGACGTATATTATTTATTTGTAATAAGAAAGACGGAATAAAAATGGAGTTTGTCAAGCCATCAACTGTTCCATTGGCCCAAATCGAATAGATGAACACCACATAAACATATCCATAACGCAAATAATCTATACGAATATTTGTAAAATCGAATTTTGACGTCATCATTTTCCGTAATGGCGTCGCGGAAAAAGGCGCGCTTTTTAATTTCTTATTTTTTTATTAAAGCACCAACGCAAGCAGCTTTAGTTCGTAATTATATTGTTTACTGTTCAGTGTTGTCCTTTGTCACTTCTCGTGATAATTAAGTCTGCGTAGACTTGTAACGTCCATTCCGTATATAAAGAATGTGGCTGGCTGCTCGAATCGAACCTGCAGACAAAAATATAAACAGAAAAGAAAAAGGACTTGTAGGTAGGATCTCTTGTGAGTCCGCGCGGGTAGGTACCATCGCCCCGTCTATTTCTGCCGTGAAGTAGTGATGCGCTTCGGTTTGAAGGGTAGGGCAGCCGTTGTAACTATACTTGAGACCTATGGGCTCCAGTACCACTTCACATCAGGTGGACTGTGAGCTCGTCCACCCATCTAAGTAAAAAAAAAAACAAGACAAAATGAGAACTTCTTTTTTGGCCACACCTTACCCTACTAGGTTGAGTTGGCACACGGAATTTTTCTTTCCATTCTCCTCTTATTTTCCCCTACCTATTCGCTGATAGTTTAAGAGGCTATTCCGCTACGCCTGGATGGGTAGGTGAGCTCACAGGTTCAACCTGAGAGAGTTTGCTTACACTAGCCCTAACAAGAGCAGGGCTTCGCTGAATCTACTACGGGATCGGAATCGTGACCAGAAGATCCGGCAAAAAATCAGTGGTCTTCTCCTGTATCAGCCGTCTTCACTCACTCTTCACTCTCATATCGTCATTCTCACACTCCATCCATGTCTTCTTCGGTCGACCTCTTCCCCCTCTACCTTGCACTATCATCTCCTAGTCACATGGCTTTCTGGTTTTTTTAAAAGCTCATCAATATCGTTTGAAGAGCTCTTAGTTTTACCAATACAATTGAGCGCAAGACTGGTTTCCAATTTAAGAAAAAGCTGTGAATAACAAATAAAGGAAATGCAACACAAATGAATCGAAATCTTGAGGCGTCATTAATTAAGGTCGAATTTCCTTTACCAAAAATAATAGTTACAAAGTCCCGTTCATACTCTTCTACACGCTATAAAATGACAGAAGCGATAGAAAAAACAAATCAAACAAACCTCTTTATCGTCATCTCGTCCCAAATCGCTCTTCGATTTAGTTTGTGGAGATTTGGTCTGAAGAGTAACCAAAAGAAATATCAGCATAATTTTTGTAAAGCATTTTATGGCCTAATAACGAGACCATATTGCTTCACAACATTTTCGTATTGATAAAAAAGGCGCTATGTGTATAATGCAAGTTTTTTAACTTCTCGATCGCGTAAAAGTTAACTCAAATTTGTATGGAGTCGGAACGTTTGCCTACGTTTGCCGCTAGGGGCGCTGTTCCAACTCAATACAAATTTGATTAAACTTTGTGTCTCCTGTAAAATTCCAAAAATGTTGCTTAAACCAAATAGCCTTTCACCCCTCGATAATTAAATTTTCTAGACGTTGACATTTTATTTCACGCAGAACGAACAAAGTCTTCAGGTCTGACAGTTTCTTTTCTGAGATTTGGGCTTTCCTATTCACGTAAAGAAGATCCCGGATCTTGGGTAATGCGAGATGAAACCATATGAGTATTTCCAATTATAACCGACAATATGATTACTTTGGTTGCCCGGTTTGGATGAGCAATGAATCTGTTTTACGATA